TTTTTTAGCAAGAACGCACATGGTGTAACTTAAGGTTTTAATATTGAGTGACCCCCCCCCCCCCCGTTCAATTCTTTCTTGTGGTCACAGTAATTGCATGTTTATATAAAGTGGCCACTTGTCGCCTACCTTTGTGCTTGGATCAGGATCCTTGCAAGCAGATTTAATATCTGCATCCGAAACACCACTTGCAGACATGTTTCTGCTAACTAATGAGTTCAGAACTACGAATAAGTATAGATCTATTTGAATGTAGTATACCAGATCGTACTACTGAGCGCCATCACACGACGACACTTGACCATGTCCGTGTCACAAAGCACGCTGGGAGCATTTTTTTTAAAACCCTAACAGCATAAAAGGCCTGTGTCGATTGGTTAGAGTGAGCGGTGAGTCTCTATTGTAATATTCAGGATTAATCGCTATATAGATATTTTTCAGTAGTGGATTTCGATCCTATGGATACAGTTCCTATATATTTACTTTATAAGTCGAAATTAGAAATTCACCCATTCAAGTGACCGATTGCCACGGCGTTTTCTAAATGCAAGCGGCAGCCAATGGGACTAATGCTTTCACGTTGGCATATTTGTCATATAAACCGGGAAATTTTAAGTAAACTTGAGTTGAATTGAAATCGGCTGTAGCGTACGATCGAGCATACTGATTATCGTGAGCATATTTGTGAAAATGCTACTGGAAGGCACGTATTATGGTAAGCTTTGTTAGCTTCGTAAACGATAGATGTGTGTGGATGTGGTGGTTTGCATTCTTGTCAACAACACAGATCAGTTCAGTATTAAAATACGGAATGAAAACGCCGTGGATCTCGAATGGCCTGACAATCTGGCTGATACACATGTAAGATGAATGCCAATAAATTGTCGCTGAAGTCTCCCATTGTCGTTATTTACGAATTGCCGAGATTAGTAACACATTGATTAAAACTTTTTACATTTTTCAAACTTAAGATTTGTCTCTAAAGATGCCCATGTAAAGTAAACTGTGTTTGTGTCATGTGTGTGAATTTTATTTCCTCTATTTTTCTATTTCTGCAGTACACAATAAAAATTTTCTGCCAATTATTGCTTTAAAAAAAACTGCAATCCTGCTGACATGTACAATAGTTATGCTCCCGTCAATGTCAATCCCCACCCACCTCGGGGTTTAGTGGGGGATTTAGAAATTATTGTTGTAAAATTTGCCAAATGCCCCACCTCCAAAGGCAAGAAGGATAGGCAAATCCCCCCCCCCAAAAAAAACACCACCCTCCCACATTTCCCCACCAATCGCCATGGTCCGCCATGCTAGCTATCAGCAGAGTACTCAATGAACGTACATGTACATGTGTATGTGCATGCGCAGCTAGAGATGACTGGAAACAAAACACGGCTATTACCCCACCTCCACGGGCACAGTTTGGCGGTAAACCCCGTCTAATGTCCCACATTTGTCCCGTATTGCCCGAGGTGGAAGGAGTCTGGGTTGACATTGACTGGAGCATCACAAAATTACATAGTTTCTAGTATTAACGTGTTGGGATTACACTTTCTTCGACTTGCTTATAATCAGTCCTGGTTTTATTTCTTATGCCATTGAAAATGCTAATCAAAAATTCAGCTGAATTTTGACCAGAAAAATTTTCC